AGCTAATAATACGTATTCTACTCTTAATAAAATTGACAGGAAAACAAGATATAGAGAAAGTGGTAGACACAATTATAGGAATTTTGACAGAGAAAGGAGTACACAAATAAGAAATCAATCAAGTTCATACTCAAGACGACATATATCTCCATCTAATCGTTTTGTAAATAACAAATGATAAACCCATTCAGCCCCCTGTGACTTTTAGATCTAGACCTGATCGTTCCCCGATTGAGAGAATTACTACTTCACCACAGACTCAGGGTCATCAATTCAATAGGGATTTTTTAGGGAAGGGGCGAGACCGAAGAAAAGGAGAGATAACTGAATTTTTTCCTCCCAGGTCTCAAGAATTGCCTCTAACGAATCGATTCTTACCAATAAGAGAGAGAAATACACCCGGGAAAAGAAGGAGATTGAGCGGAGGAGTAATGGGTGTTTGACTTTTACCCAGTCACAAGAAGAAAATATAGGGGTTTTTAACATTTCAGAGTTGCCTATAACTCCCCAAGAAATTCTACTTTTAAGTAAAGGTTTAAAATTTGTTCCAGAGGAACCCCCCAATCTTTTTCAGCTATATATAGATGCCCAAAAATTTATTAGGAAAATGTCAATTAAGAGATTCTTTATAAAGAAAAATTTAGAAGGGTCTACTAATGATATCTCAAATACCAATCAACCTATACAAAGATTTAAGCCCAGATCTAGATTCTGTCCAAATGAAAAAGGTAGTCAAATTGAAGCATTTAACAAAATGATCGTGAGAGATTTCGAACGACTTGGGAAGAATATAAATTGGGAAACTAAACATAAGAACCTTACTAATATAGAAAGTAAGATCCTTAAAGATTTAAAGAATAGAAAAGAGTTAACCATAAAGAGTGCAGATAAGGGAGGAGGTGTCGTCATTATGTCTACTGATTATTATGTGACAGAGGCATATAGATTGCTTAACGATACCCTTACATATAAAAAATTAACATATAATCCTAACTTTAAGTTTAATGAAGAGCTTAAGACCCTTTTAGACACTGCCAAATTATCAGGTACTCTGGATGAATCTACCTATTCTTTTATTTTTTCGGAATTTCCTAAAATTCCTACTTTTTATTTTCTCCCCAAGATACACAAGTGTAAAGAAAGACCCCCTGGTAGGCCTATCATCAGTGGTATAGATTCTCTAACTTCTAAACTCTCTGAGTATATTGATTTTCATCTACAACGATATGCTCAGGGAGCAAAATCTTATCTTAGGGACACCAAACACCTTATTCAGGAGTTGGAGTCAATCGAGTGGGCCGATGACTTTGTTTGGGCCACTCTGGATGTAACTTCTCTCTACACCGTTATTGATCATAATCTCGGTGTGGAGGCAGTCAGAAATAATCTTGAAAGTGATGTTGATCTTGTACCAGCTTTTCGATCCTTTTTAGAAGACTCCATTCGGTTTATTTTAACTCATAACTTTTTTTGTTTCAATAAGGATTTTTTCCTCCAGGTAAAGGGTACGGCGATGGGCACCAAGTTTGCACCAAGCTATGCCAACGTGTTTATGGACTATTGGGAAAGGTCGTCTATTTGGTCCAATAATCCCTATGGTGCAAACTTGGTGCTCTGGAGGTGTTACATTGATGACGTCCTGGTGATCTCTCGTGGCCCTTTGGCTGAACTTGAAAAGTTCTTTTTATATGTTAATCATAATTCTTTATCTCTCTATTTGTACACCTAAGGTAGGCATCTCCAGTATAGATTTTCTTGACTTATCGATTTTTATTGAAGGTGGAGTAATCAAGACAAAAACATTTTTTAAGGCTACCGATTCAAATAGTTTTATTGATACTGCAAGTGGACACCATCGGAACTGGCTCAAGGGTGTTCCCAAGAGCCAGTTTATTAGGATGCGCAGAAACTGCAGCGATTTAGATCTGTTTTATTCACAAGCAGATATTTTGAAGAATCGTTTTTTGGAAAAGGGATATTGCCCAGTGCTTTTGGATGCTGAGATCAAAAAAGTAGGAAGTATCAATAGAAATGACCTCCTAATAAATAAGAGAAAGATGGACATTAGAAATCCTATGTTCGTTTTCTCTTTTAATACACAATTTAGTTCAAAAGCCTTTGATATACAGAGAATCATTAGAAAACATTGGGGACTACTTATCGAAGATGATTACCTCAATACGCAGATACCCAGAGTTCCGAAAATTATCTTTAGGAAGGGAACAAATTTTAAACAAATTCTTGCACCCAGCACCTTTCGATCAGGTAACAATAAAGGTATTAACAAGGCAGGTTTCCATACATGTGGGAACTGTGTCAGTTGTACTCATCAACGAAAAGTGTTTTTGTTTTTTTTTGTTTTAGTAGCACACAAACTAAAAAGGAGTATAAAATTAAGAATTCGGTTTCCTGTTCCTCAACACATGTTGTATACCTCATCACATGTGGATGTGGGTTGCAATATGTGGGGAGGACAGGGAGGAAGGCTAAAATTAGATTCCAAGAACACCGGAATAATATCAAAAAAATAAATAAAAAATAAAAATTTGTTAACACATTCAGTGCCAGTGCACTGTAATTAATGTCCTTTTTTTAGTTTTAATACCCTTCAGTGCATTATTATTGAACAGGTAGCTTTAGATGATAGAGGTGGTGATCTTGGAATATTATTGAGGAAAAGAGAGGGCTATTGGATACACACTCTGCAAACTCTACATCCAAGGGGGCTGAATGTGGATTTTGATTTGGTTTGTTTTCTTTAGGATATGAAGGTTCTGTCTTTTTAAGATATTTTTAATTGGTTTTTATTTTAATTTTAATTTAATTTTTATTATCTTTTTGGAGATATATTTACAATTAGAATATATAGAAGAGAGTTTGTTATTAATTTGTAGGACATTGGACAGATACTGGATATGTTTAATGTTCGTTTTTCTGTATTATACTTTCTTTTTGCCCGTACAATGAATGGTGGAACGCAAATCGCCGAATGAAACGCATTATGACTTCCGGTTTCGGTCCGAGAGTGAGGCTTGAACCGCATTTCCGGTGACGCCACATAGACGCACCCGGAAGTATTGAAAATGGCGAACCCGGAAGTATGCTACTGATTGGCTGGAACACTTCGCGCGCCACGGTCAGATGGGTTTAAAAGAATATTGGGACTAGAAGGATGTTCATGCCGATAAGGAGCCTTACTTTTCCCCTGAGGAAGTTCAAGTTATTGAACGAAACGCTTAGGGCTTTTCCATTTAGTGCAGACTTGTATTTTATTTGTATTTTTATTGATTTTACTGGTTTTGTATCATTTTTTCCCGGTGTTCCTGACTCCAGGGATCCTGTGACTGAATTTTATGATGTGCCTTATTTCCACTTCAATCTTGTAAGTGTGTATGTATATTAAAGTGTCTATTTCTGACCAAGATACTCTGCACTATTATGTTTTATTTTTTCTCCTTATATTTGCCATGATACTTCACAAGTCCTGAGGTTTTTGATACACCTACAATCAATTTTGGTTTGTGAGTGTAAATTTTGCATTTACTTTCCACTTCTGATTTGTTGCAACATTATTGCATTATGTTCTTCTTTGTTATTATTGTATTGTAGAACCTCCATTTGAACCTTGCCAGGATGTTTCCCTAAAGCTCCTAACAATTAAGGTTATTTTCTTGGTGGCCATCACCTCAGCAAGGAGGATAGGAGAACTACAGGCTCTTTCTTTAGCTTCTGAGTTTACCATCTTCCACCACGACAAAGTGGTCTTGCATTCCAGACCTTCCATTTTACCTCAGGTTATTTTAAAGAAATCTATGAGACAACCTATTATTCTGCCTTCCGTCTGCCAGTCTCAATCTTCAGAGGTTGAAAGAAAGTGGCATCTCCTAGATGTTAGAAAAGCATTGGAAATCTATCTTCAGAGATCGCAAGGCTTTAGGATCTCAGATCATCTCTTCGTCACTTTTCAAGGCTCTTGTAAAGGGAGAGGAGCCTCCAGATCTACTATCACCAGGTGACTAAAGGAACCCATTAAACTGGCTTATGAAACCCAAGGTGTTCCCATTAGATTTCCATTGAAGGCCCATTTCATGAGGTAGATGGCAACTTCCTGGGCAGAAAGATCTGCAGCTTCTCCAGTAGACATCTGTAAGGAGGCTACTTGGTTTCATTCCACATCTTTATAAAGCATTATAAGCTGGACATATTTTCATCATCTGAAGCTGCTTTTGGGCAGAAGGTGATCCAGGCAGTGGCCTTCTAATTTCCCACCCTTTTTTGTTGCGGGATCTTGCTATATCCCATTTGTACAGTACTGCCACCATTCGAGAGGAATAACAGTAATTTTACTTATCGTAAATTCCTTTTTCCTTAGTATAGTGGTAGTAATGCCATTCTCTCCTCTGAATGGATTAAATTAGTTATGCAGTCTACGGTCTCCATTTGTTTCTTTTTATAACTGGTGTTTCCTTGGAGGTACAGGGTTTATATGGCCAGGGGTGGGTTCTCTCTTAAAATATTCAAATTTGAGGGGGAGTTTCTTGTCCACAGCAGGAGTTACATCCCACTTGTATAGAACTGCCACTATACTAAGGAAAAAGGAATTTAAGGTTATTTTCTCAATAATGCACCAAGATCATGTTTTAAAGGCAGCAAATTACAGTGCAGAAGAATACCATCTAGAATAGACATGGTCTTATACATTTTCCAACCTTTTGCGGAACTCTTCATAGACATCATCCAGAAGTCATGGGGCTTGAAATTAAAAAGTTTTACTATTGTTTATTATTTTGAGTCTTTTTGTACATGGTTAAATTTTCTTTAGAACAGGTGTATCACTGTTTTACATTTTATTTTTAGACCTGTTTCCATATGCACTTGATGAGGATTTAAGAGAGAATTATATGTAATAGGTGCAAAGGTGGAATAATTATTGCATTTTTTTTTTAGGTGTTGAGTTAGAGGATGTGTTAATACAATAGATGGCATGGGGTGATTACCGTATATACTCGTGTATAAGTCGATCTCATGTATAAGTCGAGTGCAGTTTTGTGACCAACAATTGTGAAATATGCTATGCCTCGTGGATAAGTCGAGGGTAAAACTTGGAGCTATGAAATTCTGTGATTTTTATAATTATATACACACACTCATACAAACAAACACTCTGCATTATATATACACACACTCATACAAACAATCTGCATTATATACACACACACACTCATACAAACACACACTCTGCATTATATACACACACACACTCATACAAACACACACTGCATTATATACACACACTCTGTGTATATAATGCAGAGTGTGTATATAATGCAGAGTGTGTGTTTGTGTAGTGTGTGTGAACTAGGTGGGGGGAGTGCATTTTTATTATTTTAATTTTTTTTTAATTTTAATATTATTATTTTTTTATTATTTTAATTTTTTTTTGTCCCCCCTCCCTGCTTGTTAACTGGTCAGGGAGGGGGGCTATCTTAATCCCTGGTGGTCCAGTGGCATGGGCTGTGAAGTGGGGGGGCCGGCAGGAAGCATTTACTTACCTTTCCTGCAGCTCCTGTCAGCTCCCTTCTCCACCGTTCCGGTCAGCTCTACAGTAAGTCTCGCGGTCTGGTTGCCGCGCGGATCGTTGCCATGGCTCTGACGGCCGCGGCTCTCTAAGTTGCCATAATACAGACAGTGACTCGAGTATAAGTCGAGTGGGGGTATTTAAGCACAAAAAATGTGCTGAAAAACTAGACTTATACTCGAGTATATACTGTATGTACCTGAAGGGCACCAAGTAAACAATGGTAAATGGTAACCTATGCTGGTCTGTTTGTGCTGTTTCTAGTTAATTATAAATCTCATTGGTATTTGGTGAAATAGAGTTGCAATTTCTCACATATATTTTGAATTCTAAAAAAAATTTTTAAACATGACAAGCAGAAGAATTTTTTTGAGATTTAGGTAATATAGATCCTAATGGGTTTTTTTTCAAACTATTCTAACCAGCTTAGATTCGTAACGTTTTACAATGTAATATAACAGATACAATTAGTATCTTGTAGGGGGGGGGGAAACGAAGCAGGACCCCGCGAGGAACGTAATGGTACCTGTCCCGCATCAAAATTCAGCACGAGCGCTTGAATCGGCCATGAGGCCTAAACTGGAGCAGAGCCTAAAGCCTGGGGGAGGCGGCTGATCGCCCGGCACGGGACCCGCTCGCAAGCAAGAATCAAAGGCTGCCCTGCTACCCCCCCTCTGGACCGGTGGGGGATATCACGGTCCTCGCTGGGGGCGACTACCCCCGCAAAGCAAAACGAACAAGTGACAAAACCTGCGGTGAGGCGAAACTGCCAGGGCACGCTCAAGATGGTGGCACAGGCACGACCTGTGACGCGGAGCACCCATATCAAGCTGCCCAAACACACCTTGGCATTCTTTGACCGGCTCTGCGTAAACCTCTGGATGAAGCTCCGTGCCAGGGTCTGAGCCTTCAGGCTAACGAGGAGAGTGGCGGCGGCAAGGGTCCGCCCGGCAACCCGGCAACACCTGTGCAGATTCCCACCAGGAACCACCAGAGCGCCCCCCGATGGAGATGGTGCAGAAAGACAAGAGGGCGGGAAACGGCGACATGTCCCTCAGACGACAGCACTCGCTCTCACACACGCCAGTGCGGGACCAACCAGTACACCCGATCTGTCCAACACCTGGAGGCACTGGAGACCTGCGACCTTCACGCCGACCTCACCAACTCTCGAGCTCCAGCCCGCAACAGTAAGACTACCCGGAACAGTACCATACAAGCTACACGTGCTGGTATTAAAATCCAACGCAGCATGATCCAGCTCACTACCGCCAACGCTGCAACACAATGGTCTGTGCGCCTGCACACCCCCCAAAATACGACCGGAGCTGACTCCCAGCGTAGGGACACCATGCCCAGGGGCTCCAAAGGAGGGACTCACAATGGCAATAACCGGGACTTCCCAATAATGGGAATAGGCTGAAACATCCACTATACAACCTCACAAGAGCCATACCTTATCACCCCGGGTACCGCTCTACCTGACCAGGATACAACGAGGCCACGTCGCTCAGGTCTGAAGGGGTTAATGCAGACTCTTACTTTTCTTTTTGCCTGAACTCAGCGCACACTTAGCCATTACACTCACTAACCACCCAGATGTTGATCCCTACAGCATACCCCATGAAGCCTAAACCCCCCGTCCACATACCAGAATGATCATATGAAGTCACTCTTGTTAAAATGAGACTCCAGTGGCTACTTACCCATTGCCTGATTAGCTTTAGACACAGCATAATAATCTCCTGTCTAGAAAGTAAAGCGATGTTATTTTATGTTATGAAAATACCTAAGCAAAGTAACTCTATACTGTTTATATCCTTACAAAAAATGTGCTACATCTACCATATACCTCCATGTTCAAATATTCATAATGCGCTAGAGGACTGCCTTTGGGGTACCTCACATGCAACTGTTATAAGCGTACACACTACAAAAATAAAGAATTTTAACAAAACAATTTAAAAAAAATTAGTATCTTGTAAAAGTTTTTTTATTGGACTAACACAATTTTGTAATGATAAGCTTTCTGGAAATCCTCCCTATCTCCTCTTCTAGAAGCTTGTCATTCCAAAATTATTTTAGCCCAATAAAAAGTCTAACAAGATACTAAGTTCATCTGATATTTTACATCTGCATTACTAGTTTAAAATGGCTACAATCTCTACTCATAAATGGATGCATGGATTAGCCTTCCAGCTGAAGTGGTAGAGGTTAACACAGTGAGGGAGTTTAAGCATGCGTGGGGTAGGCATAAAGCTATCCTAACTATAAGATAAGACCAGGGACTAATGAAAATATTTAGAAAATTGGGCAGATTAGATGGGCCGAATGGTTCTTATCTGCCGTCACATTTTATGTTTCTATGCTTCTAATGTGGCCATTAAATTTTTTTTTTTTAAAAATATTAAAAAAAACTCAAAGTGGAACTACTATTAAAAGTGAGAAATTTAAAATAGAATCATGTCCTTATGTAGCCACAATGTAATGCCACTAGTGGTACTCTGATATGTCAATAATTAGAGCTGAGACACATAGAACTTTTTATAAATTTGAATTGAGACAATGCAAATATACTATATATTATATAGTATTATATATTATTTTATAGCAAATAAAGAGTACAATTCATTGGCTTAACATTACTATAAATAACATAATATATCATAATACAAATAATTCAATTGTTTCATCACACAGTGAGATACTTATAAAAGTGTTCTGTTTTAAAAATTGGTGTAAAAATGTAAAAGAGGACGAGTCGCCAAAGGAATGTACCTTCCGGTTCCAATGGTTTCCACTTTTTGTATTTTAGACCACTTTTTAGAACAGAACACTTTCATAATTCCCCCCAGTTGTATCTATATTTTATTTACAAAGTCCTACCTACTGCTAATATTGAAGTTATAGCCAAAATAAATTCTACACAAAAAAAAAAACAAGTATACCATATTGTACTGTTATGTGATGTAGAAGAGTCTTCATTTATGTGATAAAACCAGTTCAATTTAATCTACATAAAAATTCCTCAAATAAAACAAAAATGTCCAGCATCACATAGTTATATACTATATATATATATATATATATATATATATATAAACACAAACACAAAGGGTATCTGTGCACCCAAGCTATAATCTTCCAAAATACCGGGTGCCAGCCAGGGCCCAATAGTATCCAAGCAAAAAGCAAAAGTATAGCTGCACTCACGGATTGTAGTTTCCTCAGGATCAATACATGAATATTGGTCTACCAATGCAAGATTATATACATTCATAATTTACACAAATAAGTGACATGTGTGAAGAGATCTAACTTACCCCAGGTGAGGTGAGGTGCTGTCGGCGTGCTGTGAATCGACGGGTGCATGCGTGGACTAACTCCGCCCCTTTAGGAGCACACACTAGCATGATTGGTGCCTGTGCGTTACTATAGTAACATTGGTAAACAAGATGTAGTGCGCTCAGAAGTATAAACAAACGAGTGACTATGAGTCCACAGTCTGTAAATATATAAATATTTTATTTTTTTAAGCGTAGATATGTACCTTGAATGTTGAGGAATTTCAGAGCATATTTAAACATGTTTTCAAGTGTTTAAAATAAATAATTTATACATTTTTATCATACTCACTTAAAAATATATAAAATATATCTTGAAGCATTGTAAATTTCAAAAGCATTTTCCTTTCATTATACTTTCTGGCTCTGCATCATTTCTTATTATTTCTTTTAGTTTAACAATAAAATGCAACTTTTTAAATGAGTGGTATCTTTGGTTATATTCCTGGTGGATTAGTGGCTAGTTGATTAGCCAGAACAGAATATCACATTCCTTACTTAACAATGTCTTTGTTGTGCTAGGACATCTTTTTCCCAGATGTCAAGTAAGCATTTGTACCAAGTCTGACAACATCTTTTCCCTAAGGGAAAGCCAAACGAACATGGGACTTAATGAAAATTCCGGTTTACATTTATTTACGTTATTTTCAGACAGTAGAATTTTTAAATACATTATTTAATTTAAATATATGCAATAATATAAAGACAAATCAACGTCTGTCTAATTGTTAATTCTCATAGCTACTCTTTCCCATTGTATACCTGGAGTGTCAATTAATCTGTCTTCACAACATTAACAAACATATAAAACAGAACATAATGAAACAGTAATAGGATTTTCTCATATCATTCCTCATTAAACTTATAGTCAACTGTGTAGTCAGCTAGAACAAAATATTAAACATCAAAAATAAATAATTTACTCCTGGAGGCATCACCCCAATCTCTAACATATAAGAAAACTAAATACCACCAAACTTTTAAGTGGTGCATTTTTAATCATGGCCATGACTTTGTAAATCTTTTTGATACCTGTACTTGAACTGTCTCAGAAAGGAGGACAATACACACTATGCTTGAAATATCTGAGTTAATCGTTTTCTGTATGTCACACCATTTACATGCTACAAGTCAAATTGTGTCTGCTAACACAATATTTATTATATACCACAAAGACATAAATACGGCAAATGAATTAATTTTCAAAAAAAGTTTACATGCAAGCTATGCAAAGGTGATTTCTGCAACACCCTTTGCCTTAAAGGACCACTATAGTGCCAGGAAAACATGCTCATTTTCCTGGCACTATAGTGCCCTGAGGGTGCCCCCACCCTCAGGGACCCCCTCCCGCCCAGCTCTGGAAAGGGGAAAAGGGTTAAAACTTACCTTTTTCCAGCGCTGGGCGGGGAGCTCTCCTCCTCCTCTCCTCCTCCGTTCCTCCCCGTTG